CATAAATGTGGTTCCTTCGAGTATTTCTAAATATATGTGGTTAAATTACATTTACTTAAATGAGTAAAACTTAATGAGTGTAAATAACATGCAACATACGTTCAAGAAAAGTAGTACTATGAAAAATAAATAAGGCATAGTTCACAAAGCTAAATGCAAGTCTTTTTGCTTTTCTTTTTTCGACTGGAGCTCTTTCCCGTTGTTGGTATCCTCTTCAATAGTTAGATGTGGTGCAAGAAAGAGCAGTGTTCCTTTATTGGAGGAGTGGATAAGTCCATTTGATGGTTTTTTAAAATTTAATATTGATGGTTCTGCTATCGGAAAGCTAGCCCAATTAGTATCAGAAGAGTTTTAAAAAATCTTCAGGTGTAGTTAATTGCATGTTTTACAAAGCAGTGGGTATGTTAAACTCTAATGAAGTTGAATTGCTGGCATTGTTTGAAGCTATTCAGATTTTTGCTTCCTCTTCTTTGAGATCTTATCCTTTGATAATTGAATCGGACTTTAAGAATACAATACGTTGGACGTCGCATAAGGAGAAAAGGCCATAAAAATTGTGGAAATTGTTCAACAAGTTGGATGAGATAGTGTTGTTGTATTCCTATATTTGTTTAGGTCATATCAAGAGATTTTTGCTTCGTCTTCTTTGAGATCTTGTCCGTTGATAATTGAATCGGACTCTAAGAATGCAATAGGTTGGATGTCGCATAAGGAGAAAAGGCCATAAAAATTGTGGAAATTGTTCAACAAGTTGGATGAGACGGTGTTGTTGTGTTCCTATATTTGTTTAGGTCATATCAAGAGATCTAAAAGTCATTTTGCAGATTTCCTAGTTAAGAAAGGGGTGAATGCTGTAGAAAATTCTCTTGCTTGGTTATAATGTCGTGAGTTTTATTTGTTTACTCTTATCTCAAGAGTGAATAATTTAAGCTTATCATAATTGTTTTCAGTTATTTTCTAAGTTTTATTTAACTGATTGAGGTCTTAGTTTGGGTGTGCTAGGGAAGCCTGTTGGCTTGAGTTAAATTCCTAAATTAGTTAAAATTTTTTCCGGTTTTTTTTCTAGTAATATTAAAAAATTTATTTACTGATAAAAAAAATGTTTCGCAAAGCTAAAAAAAATTGGTTAAAATTATAAAATGTATCAAACTTAGGTTTTTATTTTTTATATTTTTTTTTTCAGTTTAATATAGAATATAAAGAATGAAGTGGAATTTTAACAGTCTCTCTGTCGTTTATGTTGGCGCATTCAAATAATTTTAGCGTAAATGATTAAACAAACAACAGGATAAGTTTATTGCACATGCCAATAATGCTCATGGTGGTGTTCTGTCACACAAAACATTAATCAGCGGGTTGTTTATAAAAAAACAAAAATATTAATTTTTTTTAGAAAATTGTGTATGTGAATTAAATAACGACAAAAATCAAAAGGGAGTAGTGGTAAATACAAATAAAAGCAAAATGTGTTTTTTTATAAGCATAAAAAACAAAATAGTATGTTAATTTCATATTGATTTCATAGTGTAGTAAAATTTATATTTTTTTCTAAATATATGCTGAATTTAATTTTCAAGGCAAGAGAAAATTTTCCAAGTCAAAATTTATTCTTGTAATATCATAGTAAGAAAAAATGAAAAAACACATTCCATATAATAAGCTATATAAAAAATTTATATACAAAATTCTCATAATTACAGTAACTAATTGGATATTTGGCGCAGAGTCCTAAATAGGAATGAATACGTTTTTCTATTTAGACGGTAACTTAAGAGTCCAAGAAATGTCACACATATATATATAAACGAAATTAAAATTAATAAGTACATTAAATAACAGGAAAGTTGTAAAACAATTATGAAAAATATTTCTTTACTTTGAAATTATAATACAATAAATTATATAATTTACGCTTCAATTTGGAAATTGCAAGTTTTAGCATTGATAATAATAGAATTGATAATTTGAATAATAAAAACAAAAAATCATTATTCAATTCTCAAATCTATTGATGTCTAAATAATTTTTCATTGTTGAATGATGCTAATAATTAAATCTCCTATTTGCTTAAGAAATCAAAAAGAAAAAGAATCTGACATGGAAGAAGAGTTTGCTTTTACGGATTTAGTTATGTATGCAAAGGAAATTAAGATGCCTACTACTTGGATTGGGGAGACAAGTGGATGATGATATTTAAGAAAATAGAGAAAAAAAGATCCTATTTATGTGAAAAAGTATTACCTAACATGTTGTTGGCATATATTGATATATTTCATCTGAGGGTGGGCACATCCCTATTGAATTCTAATACTCTTTTTGGTATAAATAAACTCAAAATGTGAACTTTATTTATAAATAAATTCTAAATTTGTAAATGAATTTTTCATATTTGAAATAAATTTAAAAATTAAAATTCATTTGCTTTTATTTCTAAAATATCCTTAGTGTAATAATTTTAGAAAGCTATGAGAATGGATAGTTTTGTAATAAAGCTTTAAGTTGTTTAAGTTTATAGAATTATTTGAAAATTCCATCTTTTTCTTTTATACAATTTGGTTTAGTTATATTCAAATCCATTGAATTGAGCTCATAGAAATGAATTCTTCATTTTTTTTTTTCATACCAACTACAAAAATTTAGATTTATACATAAATTTTTACAAAATTTTGTGGAGCGCATTTATTCCAAGTGAGAGATCAATCGTAAATTACTCATGATAAAAGAATGCAGCAAGCATATTTCATAAGGTAAAATAGGAAATGTACGGGGAAAAAAAAAAAAAACACCAACTGAAGTAGGCATTTTAACAAATAGGATTGGTATAGGCTTTATTAACTTTTTATTTGCCATATTTTTCAGAAGTTATATATATTTACGAAAACTAGATCATCTTGAACTAAACACGTACTAAGATTGGTTTAGGGTTTAGGATTTAGGGTTTATTAATTTATAATGGTTTGACGAAATATGAAAGTTGGGAGAGGAGAACCAAAGTCGTGTGGGAGAGGATAAGTGGATTTTTTTTTTTTTTTTTTTTTTTTTAACTTTTATTGCCATATTTTTTCGCAGGAACGAGTTATAGTATTTAACGAAAACTCTAGATATCTGAACAAACATCGTACTAAGATTAGGTTTAGGTTTAAGGATTTAGGTTTATTCACTTGTATAATGGTTTGACGAAATTATGAAAGTTGGGAGAGGAGAAACCAAAAGTCGGTGTTGTCCGGAGAACAATTGCGAAGGCGCCATAAGTGGATTTTCTTATATTAATTATTTTATTCTTTTTTTGATTAAATATGTGGAAGAAGCGTAGGAACAGTACAACGCAAGTATAAACATTACCTAGCATGGTGGCAACTAACCAGCGGTTTCGTTTCAACTTGAAATTGTCTGAGAAATTCAACAACTGAAGTTAAAGTACGCGCGCCACTAAAAACATTAGTGTCATATCTAGCCAACTTCATACGCATTTCAAACGCATAACTCTTAAAGTGGGCGAGCCTATACACTTCCTAAAGTTTTGGTTTTACTTAGCATCCTCCATTCACTTTGTGTTGAAATCAGAAGGGCAACTTAAAAGAAACATCATTACTCTAAAGAAACTCAACGGGTTCTCGATTTTGAAAACTGTGAAAAATATGGTTTCTGTAAAGAAAACCACTTGTCGTCAAGACCTAAATGTTTGTGTTTTTTTTTTTTTTTTTTTTTTTTTTTGATAAATATGTGGAAGGGGGCAGAAACGCAATATAAACATATAGGCATGGATAACCACGGTTCGGTTTCAACTTGAAATTGTCGAAATCAAACTGGTTAAAACCGGCACTAAACTATAGTCAACAATTCTAGTTTCAAACCATAACTGAAATTATACACTTAAAGTTTGGTTCTGATTCTTCACTTTTTGAAATCAAAATTAGCAATTTTACTTTAAAATCAGCGGTTTCGATTTGAAACTGTGAAAAATATGTTCTTAAAAAAACTCTCAACTAATTTTTGTGTTTTATTATTCTCTCTCCGTCCCATTTTGTTTGATTGTTATTCTTTTTTTAAATGTCCCAAAATGTTTGCAAAGTTTGTAAATTTATACATATAGAGCTTTTATTAATATCTTAATGACTTAAGGGTAAAAAAGGACAAAATAAATTTTATTGACTAAATTTTTAATATACGTATTTTGTCAAATCATGTAAACAACATGGGATGGAGGGATTAATATTTTAAAGTAACTTTTAAGAATTTTTATTAAATTGGTTTAGTTTTTTCAATTGTAATATTTATTATCATTATTATCTATTCAAGCCACAAATATAAAAAAGCATTTTAAAAAGTTTAAAATATGTTATTTAATTTCAATTTAAAACCGAAACAAAACTGAAACCATATCGATTCTGATACTAATTTCAGTTCAGTATGGTCATAATTGTTAGAGGTCCAGTTCAGTATGGTCATAATTATTAGAGGTCCGATTTGTCTTTTCCATATTGTTTTGAACTGATTTAATTATTTGCTTACCCCCACGGTGAATGATACATCTTAAATTGAATTAAAGAAGTAAACTTGTTTCCATGTTTAAAAATGAATCCGTAATGGTATCTACCACTAAATCAAGGAAAGAAGTATAAGAAATAAAGAAATCCCAGATCGCCATAAGATCACAATTTCTTTGAGCACATATGCTTAAAAATATAACTATAAAGAATTTATGTGGATTCATATGTGGATTCCAAATTCTACACCTTGCTGATTCTCCACTATGCTTCTGTCTCATCCACATTAGAAAGATGAACCCATTTTCCCATTTATTAATAAAATAAAATTCTTTCTTGATTTATTATGCTCTTTTCCTTTTTTTTTTTTTTTTTTTTTTTATGTCTTCTGCTTGATTATTATGGCCTCTTTCCTTTTTTTTATTGGGGTTTTGGTTTTTTTTTGGTTGGGTGAGTAAACTTACAATATCCATTCTTAAAAGCCAACTACGCGACGTCTTCTTTTTTTTTTTTTTTTTTTTTTTTGTTGGGGTAAACTTCATTCCATTCTTAAAAGCCAACCTCACCACTCTTCTTATATAGCTTCCCAATGGCTTCCACATTCTATACCATTCTCTAACAAACCTTAAACAAGTGTAGAAGTGAGCAATATTAGCTTTCTCTCCTACCAAGAGTTTGAAACTTCTTTCTTTCTTTTATTTCTTTCTTTTCTTGATTTTTAACATTTCAGAGTTGTGTGCTTTGGTTGCAGAGTTTTGAAGAAGAAAGACAAAAATGGCTGCCCAAGACAAGAACAAGGCAGCCAATAATCACAATAAAAAATTTCAGAAAAGTTATTTTGATGTGTTAGGGCTTTGTTGCTCTTCAGAAGTTCCTTTGATTGAGAATATTCTCAAGTCTCTTGACGGTGTCAAAGAGTACTCTGTTATTGTTCCAACAAGAACTGTTGTTGTTGTTCATGATAATCTCCTTCTATCTCAGCTTCAAATTGGTAAGTTTCCATTTTAGCCACTTCTTTTTTTTCCTAAATCTTTTTTCTTCATTTTCTGAGAAAATATTTTTTTTGGCTTTTGGAGCAAAACTTAAAAATATGATGATCAACACTTCAAAATTATAATTGAAATGCTAAACACATTTTTAACTATTAACTTTTGGTTTTATAAGCAATTAGCGGCCAGTCAACCACTATCCATTGGTGACAGCAAAATATAAACGTTAAATCAAAAGGATTTTTTTTTTTTTTTTATCACAAGTTAAAACGTTAAAACTATTTATTTACCACTAATATTAAAGGAGAAAACGAGTTTAAAAGTGTAGTTTTCGCTCAATATGTGTGTTATTTTCAAAAAATTGAGCTAATTTGACAACTCTAGTTTTTACTCTCATTTCTTATATAAATAAAAAATATAAAAAATTGTAATTTAAACTTGGTGTTGAATCTTTTGGGGATGAAATATATAATGACAACTCTATGTTTTTTACTCTTCAATTTCTTATATAAAGTAAAAAAGATATAAAAATTATTTGTAATTTAAACTTGGTGTTTGAATCTTTTGGATGAAATATAATATTTAGATATATTAAATAGTATCTATAACGCATATATACTATTATATATATTATTATATCTATATATATATATAGTTATATAGTATATGATATAACTTATTTATAATAAGTGCAAAAGGATTCTAGGTTTGCTCAGGGCTGTAAGCAGTGTATGGATATGTCATAAATTTCAGAATAGGTGATGGAGTACAGATTTGTGTTTGGATGTGTAGTTGTTTAATAAAATATATATGGAGGTGCTAAATATTAATAAAAGGATATATATTATAATTATTTATAAAGGCAAAATCTATGATAGTGTAAGCAGGTTGATATGTCAAATTCATTAGGTGGAGTACAGATTTGGTTTTGGTAGTTGTAATAAATATATTGGATGCAAATATTAAAAAGGATTTTGATTTTTTTTGGGAATCCTCTTTAGCTTCCCCTGTTGCATGTCAACAGCTAAAAGCTCATGCCCAAAAGAAGCAGGACATGCTGCTCTACTGCGTGAGCAACCTAATTCACTGATTTTCTAATAAAAACATAAGAATATGAAATATAATAAAAAATTGTTAGAAAAATGGAAAATTTTATAATTTATAGTTTATGATTTAATTAATTAAATATACAAAATTAAATATAATAATTATAAATTTATTTATTTATTTATTTATTAAATGGCAGTTAAGGCTCTGAATCAAGCAAGGCTAGAAGCAAATGTGAGAGTACATGGAGATATAAGTTATCAGAAGAAATGGCCAAGCCCTTTTGCTGTCGCTAGTGGTGTATTGCTTCTGCTCTCGTTGTTGAAGTATGTGTATCATCCTTTACATTGGCTTGCTCTTGGAGCTGTGGCCGTTGGAATCATTCCTATCTTCTTGAAAGCAATTGCTTCGATAAGAAATTTTAGACTTGATACCAACATTCTTGTTCTCATTGCAGGTATTTTACTAATTTTTTTTTTTAATTTTCTCATCTATTTTAAAACTTGAAGAGTGATAAGTTTTCCAGGATTCAGAGCGACTTGATTCTTTAATTTTTCATTTTAAGATCAATAGAATTTAACTAAAATTTTTAATTTTTTTATTGGATTTTTACCTTGTCAAATTAATTAAATTAATCATATATTAGTGAACAATAGTGAGTCCTATATTAAAATTCTAAGTATTTTTGCTAGGGCTAAGCAGTTTTTGATAAAATTTACTGAGTTGAAATAAATATTTTGAAAGATTTGATTTGATTTTTATTTTAATAAGATAAAATCAAATTTTTTTTCAATTGGGTTTGATTTTATTTTATATAATAAACTTTAAAATTAACTGTACCGAATTGAAATTGAATTGAACCAATTTGACTTAGTTTCAATTTAATTTTTTTAAACATTTAATTTATTCAATTCATGCGATTTGTTTCAATTTGAATCTAAACCAATCAACCAACCAAGTGCTCACCCCAAATTTTGCGGTCTGAAATCGGAAGGTTAAATTTTATTTTTCTCTATTCTTCAAAATTTAAATGTAAAATAAACAAAACTAAAAGAGTAATTAACTAGAGGATTACATCTATTTTTTCTTTTTCTTTTTCTTTTTTTTTTTTAAAAAAAGAAGAAACTAGTGGTTACATAAAATGAAATTTTAATTCTTGAATTTTCATTATTCATTTAATTTCTAGTTCTATTCTGGATACATGCTTTTAGAAAACAATTTCAATTGTGTGAATATATCTTTTCCTGACAACTTTCGTTGTTGAGGTATATCTGTTATATAAGCACCGACTTCCTTTTCCTTTTAGGCAAAGTTTTATTTTATTAATTCACGTAAAAGCTTAAAACTTAAAAGAGAAACCTACTGCTACGTTATCCAGACAAGTTTTCCTAAAGTCGTATTATAAATTAATAATATTATATAATAATGGTAATTAATGATAATAATTATTTTGATTAATGGATGATTTGATTATTTTATTTGGGAATTTATCAACTAATTTATGGATATGTTTAGCTAAAAAAAAAAAAAAAAAAACTAAATTTATGGAATATGGTTATTAGCCTAAAAAAAAAAATAAAAAGAAGATATAATTTTTATGCAATTTTAGGTTGCTTTTTCTTTTTCTGTTAAGTTTCATTTCTCACTCCTTCCCCTTTGCTTTTATTTGTGGAACGTTTTCATTCTTTCTTTCTTCTTTTTTTTTATTTTTTCCATATAAGAACTTTTTTTTTTTTTTTTTTTTTTTCCATATAAAGAACGAAAGGTTAGCCTTTACGTGTCATAAAGGAGCATTTCTTACTGGGCTTTTTCCTTCGTCTCTTTCTTTATTGTAGCCTTTTTCTTTAATAAAGGCTAGTGATTGCCTTTGATTATTCATCTTTTTGCCCAATTTTTCTGCTAAAAAGTTAAATAATTTTGACAATTTAGTGCTACTGATCAAAAGTTTCTATAAAGAATACCATATCTATATATATATGCTTGCTGTTTTTGATATATATAAGTAAATTTTTTCAGATATAAAATTTATTCTTTAATGGCAGTATATATAGTTTGAACTATGTTGAATTTTACGGAATTAAATTTACAAGTAAAATATATATTCTTTTTTTTGTTTGAAATATAAAAATATAAACTTTCAAAATGAATTTTAATTTTTTGGATAATATAAATGCGATGTGTGTACACACGATGTTAATGAAGATAAAAAGTAAGAATAATGAGAGAATTTTTAGAGATTGTAATGTTTTTATTAGGTTTAGATATAAATATTTATATATTTTTATAGTTATCCTATGTAAGAGACAAAAAATAAATATTGAACGAAAATCTCGAAATTTAATATCATGCGAGAATCTCAGATTTTAAATATATATAATAAATGTTAATCTTTATCCAGCATTACATATTTTGAAATGATCGAGTAAGAGTAACGTTGAGTCAATTTTTAATAATTTCTCTATTACTTTTGACAGTGATAGGGACAGTGGCTTTGAAGGATTATGCGGAAGCAGGAACAATTGTCTTTCTGTTTACCATTGCTGAATGGCTCGAGTCAAGGGCAGGCCACAAGGTATGTTCAGCAACCTACAATATTTATTAGAGATTATGTAAATAATTTTTAGTTAAAATTAAATTATATAATTCTACAACCATTGTGGTTTAATATCACTTTCAATTATAAAAATTTATTTACTATGCAAATTACGATTAAGCCTTTGAAATTGACCGAAATTATTATTTTATTTCAACCATTTGGAGAAATTACAGGGAAGCATTTGAGATTTAGAATTTTTATCTAAAAAGTATAATTTTGGCAGTTAAATACTATACATATTTGAATATTTAGTCCTTTATATCGTAATTATTTAGTCCCTTACATAGTCGCATTTGTTATTAAATTAATATTTCGTCCCTTAAACTGAAAACTTGAAATTTTTGAATGGAAAAACTAAGTAGTTTAAGGAAACAAATTTTTAGACTTTGCAATATCTCATTCACACAATTAGGACAAAAGTATTAATCTTAGTCAAACCTTTTTGAATTTGCCTATAAATAAATACTCAAATAAAGAGCATTTCAAAGCATAGTTTAATGGTAAGTACATTACGACATAACAATAGATCCATGTTCAAATCTCTTTTTTCTAGTGGAAGCTATTAACGGCTATTTTAACTTATGTCACTAGATAATTTGAAGTTATTTAAATTAAAGTAATTTAATATTTCTAGGGTATCAATTACATCACTTAGGCTATGTTTGTTTAGGAGGAAAAATGGCAGTGGAAATTAGTGAACTTAAAGATTCTTTCAAAAGCTCTCGGGTTCGATTTCCACTAAACGCACTTGTCGAGAGAATTGAAAGGCTTTAACTATGATTAAATCCCGAGCCGGATTAGGCGACCCCTGATAATGGGATCCAGATATCGGTAGTTTACACACAAATAAAAAAAAAATTGTTTTTCTGTCAAATGTATTAACAATATTCATTTTCTGTTAATTTCTTGAGGTCATTTTGCATTAATGTACAACATTCTCACTAACTTTAGTTTTTAATTTTATATAGCTGTTTAAATTTTAAAATCTCAATTTAGTTAGTCCCTAAATTATTAAATTTAAATTACATATGTCCTTTTTTTCCTTGAATAACTCATAAAATGGCTTGTTTTTCTGTAAAGATGCTATAGATACTGAAATTGTTGATTTTTTAATTAATAGAAATAAATAAGTGTGTATTGAGACTAATTTCAAAATGGCTTCTTTTTTTTTTTTTTTTTTTTTTTTGTTTTTTTTTTTATAAAAAGTTGTTAACATTAGAAAAAAAAAAAAATTGAAAAAAAAGAGTAATTTTACCGAGGAAAATTTTTTCATTGACTAATATTCTGATCTCCTCAAATGTTCTTTTTTTTTTTTTTTTTTTTTATAAAAAGTTTGTTAACATTTAGAAAAAAAAAAATTGAAAAAAAAAGAGTAATTTTACGAGGAAAATATTTTTCATTGACTAATATTTCTGATCTCCTCAAATGTTATGAAAAACCTAGAAAATCTTCTCAGAAAAAACCAACAATTTAGATAGAAACTAGTATCTAAAATTTTCAAATATTGCATTTGAACAAAAATTTAATTTCTGAAGTATAATTTTTATTTCAGGCTAATGCTGTTATGTCATCGTTGATGAACATAGCTCCTCAAAAAGCAGTAATAGCTGAAACAGGGGAAGAAGTAGATGTTGATGAGGTTAAGTTAAACACTATCGTTGCAGTGAAAGCTGGCGAAATTATACCCATTGATGGGGTAGTTGTAGATGGAAATTCTGAAGTAGATGAAAAAACCTTAACAGGAGAATCATTTCCAGTTCCTAAACTCAAAGATTCTACTGTTTGGGCTGGTACCATCAACCTTAACGGTAATAACTGATAACTGACTCTATTTAATCTAGGATTTGAATTGGGCTCAGAAATTTTTGGGATTAGAATTGGTTTCTAATCTGAACCGGCCAATGACCATTTCTACTTTGAATATATTAAGATTCTGACTTTCTTTGTAGCTAACCAGAATACACAATTTTCAGGTTACGTGAATGTTAAAACTACAGCTTTAGCTGAAGATTGTGTAGTAGCTAAAATGGCAAAGCTAGTAGAAGAAGCTCAAAATAGCAAATCTACTACTCAAAGATTCATAGATAAAATTGCTCAGTATTATACTCCAGGTTATTCATACATTAAATACTGTTTTATTATTTGTAGAATATAATATATTACTAATTACTTGTTATTGATCATTTTTGGTCTGTTTGGCAGCGGTAATAATTATATCAGCTAGCTTGGCAGGTGTTCCTCTGGCATTTAGGGTTGATAACCTTAAGCATTGGCTTCATTTAGCTTTAGTTGTTTTAGTAAGTGCGTGTCCATGTGCTCTCATCCTCTCCACACCAGTCGCAACCTTCTGCGCCCTAACAAAAGCCGCAACCTCTGGTGTTTTGATCAAAGGCGGGGATTATCTTGAAACTCTTTCCAAAATCAAGGTTGTGGCTTTTGACAAGACTGGTACTATCACCAGAGGTGAATTTGTGGTCGTAGAATTCCAATCGCTTTGTCAAGATATAAGCATTGACACATTGCTTTACTGGTAAGAACAAATAAGAACGAGTAAAATCAAGCTATAATTGTAGGGCATCAAGCATTTTTATTAAGGATTTTTATTATCAAGATGGTAAGTAATTTATATGTTTGAATCTTGTAGGGTGTCATGCATTGAGAGTAAATCAAGTCATCCGATGGCAGCTGCTCTTGTTGACTATGGAAGAAGTCTTTCGGTAGAGCCACGTCCTGAGAATGTGGAAGAATTTCAAAATTTTCCTGGAGAAGGAATTCATGGAAAGATTGATGGGAAAGAAATTTATATTGGAAACCGAAAGATGGGTATCAGAGCTGGCTGTGAAAGAAGTAAGAACTGTATGGTGTTATAAATGTATTGGTGTTAGAGATTGTGCCACTAATAATGATTTTACAAATGTATGGTGTTTTGAATTTACAGTTCCTCTGGTAGAAATGGATACAAAGAGTGGGAAGACTATTGGATATGTTTACTCAGGAGCCACTCCTGCTGGAGTTTTCAGCCTCTCCGATGCTTGTAGGACTGGTGTTGCAGAGGCGATCGCAGAGCTTAAGTCACTGAGAATTAAAACCGCTATGCTTACAGGAGATGGTCAAGCAGCAGCAATGCATGCTCAACAACAGGTGCATCTAATTTCTTTTCCTTGCTCAGTTTTCCATAGTTAGTGGATCACTCTAGAACTAGAAAATTAGATTTTTAAGGACATGTAATTCTGAAATTGGGAATGGAATTGGAATGCAGCTAGGAAATGCTCTTGAAATAGTCCATGCAGAACTCCTACCAGAAGACAAGGCAAGAATTATTGAAGCATTTAAAAAGGAAGGGAAAACAGCAATGATAGGAGATGGACTAAATGATGCTCCTGCATTGGCTACAGCTGATATTGGTATCTCTATGGGAATTTCAGGTTCAGCACTGGCAACAGAGACAGCACATGTAATTCTTATGTCAAATGACATTAGAAAAGTGCCAAAAGCAATTCAGCTAGCGAAAAAAGCTCATAAGACAGTAATTCAAAATGTCATTCTGTCGATATCAACAAAATCTGCTATCCTTGCCTTAGCCTTCGCTGGTCATCCACTTATTTGGGCTGCTGTTCTTGCTGATGTTGGTACTTGTCTGCTAGTCATTCTCAACAGCATGTTACTTTTACGCGAAACGCATAAGAAACACAGAGGAAAATGCTGCAACTCAAAATCTGCAGAAAAGATCAAGAAATGTGACAGTCACCACTCGTCTCATCATCATAAGCAATGTTGTGAGCAAAATGTTGAAAGAGCATGTACAACTCATAAATCTCAAAGAGGAAAATGCTGCAAGTCGACATCTGCAGAAAAAATAAAGAAATGTGACAGTAATATCAAGCGTTGCTGTGACAAGAAGGTGGAGAAGCAATGTAGGCCAAGCTGTGCTTCAAAATGTGAGCCTAATGCAAACAATAAGTGCACAGATTCAGCTGAATTGAAGCATTGTAATCATTCGGTTTCTTTAGAATCGAAAAATCAGCAGAAACATTCTTGCTCAGGCTTAAGCACCAGAGAGAAATGCACAAATTCAGTACAAAAGGAAGGCAAATGTAATGAAGGAGAGCATTCTCCCCCCAGTCATTGCATATCTAACCATTCAAACCATTCTACTGATATGGAACCAATCACTCTAAAGAACAGCAAAAATGGTCATTGCCATGATCATCATTGTGGTAAAGACCATGCTAATATTCATGTTGAGGTTGATTCTTTAGAAAACATTGTTGATTCGGGTTTTACTACTCCTCGGCCCAACCAACAAAAGCCAAATTATTGCTCTACTAGTCAAATGGCAGCTGTGCATGTTTGTATGAGCTTAGAGAAGAGAGAAATGGGCGGTTGTTGCAAAAGCTATATGAAGGAATGTTGTGATAAGCATGGACAATTTGCAAGTGGCTTGGGTGGAAGCTTGTCTGAAATTATCATAGAGTAGATATATATATATATATATATAGCCAGCTTCAAAAGATCTTCAGAAGGTTATTTTCATAGTTGATAAGAAGATAGGAAATTTTTGTGAAGTGCAAATGGGATGACCTGATTAAGAATAATCAATGAATCAAATGGAGACATTTGCATTAACATTACAAATGTATATATACTTGTATTCAATCAAATATTATAGAGTTTGTGTTTCCTTAATTTTTTTCTTTCACCAATGCATTTTTTTCATTGTTAGAAATTTCAATGTGGGAGATCATCTACTGTGGGGCTATTTTGATTTGGGAAAATGGACTGAACAAATATAGTCTAAGGATAAGAATATTTATGTTGAGCTCAATTAGATCTAGCTATATAAAATTCTTTATGAACAAGCTAGGTTCCTTCATCCTTAAACCTAATTTTGGCTAGTAACATTTAAAGTCACACAATATTTGTGTAAGGAGGAAGAAAAGTAATTGGGAAATCAGATGCAATTACACTCCAGTAAACATGTAAAAGCATAGGAGAATAATTCAATACAAGTACAAATTATATTGATGTATACATAGCTAAAGAGATATATAAATATATAGTGTAAGAACCCACGATGCGGGCTGTCTGTCTTTTATTACACGTCATCAAAAGCGGGGCCTACATATGCAAAGTCAGCAATCCAGTGAGAGGAATCGGCCAAAAGCACTTGATTGCATTTTTTTAAAACATTTAGGAACCCAATTTAAAAAAGTTTTTCGATCAAGCACTCATATAGAAAAATTAAAGAATTTAGGCACTAAAAGTTTCAATATCTCGAAAGGAAAAAAAAAAAGGATAGCTTAGTTCAAAATTATACTGTTTTGATAAAGAAGGGAGTTCAACAATATTTTTTTTCCCTTTCAAATTTCTTTACTTAAGTCTAAAATTACATTATATAAAACATTCTTATTTTCAATTTTTTTTAAAATTTATTTAATTAATAATATTTAAATAAAATAAAATAAACCATAATTAATTTGATTATTTTGCATTAAATTGCAAAGTTAAAGAATTTTAGTTGTCATATGAGTATAAACATTTTTTAAGTTGTTTAAAATAAATTTATTAGGATTTTTTAATTAACATTAATTTTTTAGAAAAAGGCGGCCTAAAACTGAATTTCCATCATTTTCTTAGAAAAAAGGGCAATTAATTATTTGGTCCCTAAGATTTGATGAAATTATTTAAGTAGTCCCTACATCTGAGACAAATATTCAGCGTGTCTTTGAGGCTTGATTCCATCATTCTAAATAGTTCATCCATCTGATTTTGTGCGCTTTTGCCATTAAAATAACTCAAAAAGTAAGAGAGAGATGAGATGAGTTTTTAGAAATGACAAAAGTTGCCCTTGGCAACTCTATTTCTCCTACCTTCTTTCTTCTTCCTTCGTTTCTTCTTTTCTTTCTTCTTCCTTTGATTTTTTTTTTCTTCTTTTTCATATTTTAATCATTTGTATTCTCACTGATAAGAGCCTTTTTCTTGCCTTCTCTTCTTCTTCCTTCCTTTCTTTTTTATTTTTTATTTTTTTATTTTGTGTTTTTGATGATCGGGTATAAAACAAAGAAAAGTTGATAGAAAAGAAGAAAAAATACAGAGTATAATGGAAGAAAGAAACTTGTATTAAACAAGAAACTTTGAGAAAGTGATGATCTTTCCTTCAGATTACCATACTTATTTATCGCACAAATCTGACTAATTTTCCACAAAATTCTCCACTACTGATTTTACTCACCAAAAGAATAGAAACAAACTCTGAATAAGTCTCAGAGAAGATTTGGTAACTTATTGACTAAATAAAGTGGCAATAAACTAAATAAAACAAATTTAATTTAATGTGTAGTAAGCTGCACTAATTTTTGACACTCCCCCTTAGTGCAAGCTTACTATCAATAACTCCTAGAGCATCTCAAAATGACAGAAACTTAGGCTTCATCAAAGCCGTGTGAATACATCAACAACTTGAGCGTCGGTACGAACACTAGTTAGCTCAATTTCTTCAGTCAAGACCTTGTCACGAATAAAATGATGACGGACTTCAATATGCTTTGTTCTTGCGTGAAATATTGGATTTGAGGCTAACTTAACTGCACTCTCATTGTCACACTTGATTTGCACAGCATAATCAACTTGGTGTAACATATCTACAACCAACCTTTTCAACCAAACACATTCTTGTGCAGCCATGGTTGCTGCCACATATTCTGCTTCTGTGCTAGATAGAGCCACAACATCCTGCTTCTTGCTACTCCAAGAAATCACTGCTGGACCACTATTAAAACAATAGCCTGAGGTTGAGTGACGATCATTTGCATCCCCTACCCAATCTGCGTCAGTGAATCCACTTAATAAAAATTTTTCACTTCTCTTGTACCAAAGCCCATGATTAGGAGACCCTTTGACATAACGCAATATTCTTTTTGCAACATCTAAATGAGTAGTTCTTGGATTCTGCATAAATTGAGAAACAACAGACACAGAGTATGGAATTTTTGGTCTTGTGATGGTTAAGTAAATTAGACACCCAACAAGTTGCCGAAATTTCTTGGCATCTTTCAATGGCTTCCCATCAACTTTTTGTAACTTAAGATTGGGTTCCATTGGAGTAGCCATTTCCTTCGACTTCCCTATACTGAAACGCTCCAAGAGGCTCTTTGCTTTTTGAGAAACAATATAACCCAGGTTTGATTTTTCCACTTCTAAACGAAGAAAACATCCAATTTCCCCCAGATTTTTCATCTCAAAACGAATAGACAAGTCATTTCTCAAGTTAGAAATATCAAGTTCATTATCTCCAGTTATAATTATATCATCAACGTATAATAATGCTAGGAGGTGTAGATTTGATTCTAATTTTATGCATAAAGTAGAATCTGAAACTGAAAATCTAAAACCACAAAAGATGAGATATTGAGAAATTTTACCATACCACGCTCTTGGCGCTTGCTTTAAGCCATAGAGCGACAAGTCATTTCTCAAGTTAGAAATATCAAGTTCATTATCTCCAGTTATAATTATATCATCAACGTATAATAATGCTAGGAGGTGTAGATTTGATTCTAATTTTATGCATAAAGTAGAATCTGAAACTGAAAATCTAAAACCACAAAAGATGAGATATTGAGAAATTTTACCATACCACGCTCTTGGCGCTTGCTTTAAGCCATAGAGCACTTTCTTCAAACGACACACATAATTTAGAAATTGTTTAGACACAAAACTAATGGGCAGCTCCATAAACACTTCACGATCCAAATCACCGTAAAGAAATGCGTTCTTTACATCATGCTGCCATATTTTCCAACCTTTAAATGCAACAGGAGAAATTAGTGTCCTCACCGCTGTCATCTTTTGCAACCAGGCTGAATGTCTCCTCATTATTCAACCCATAATTTTGAGCGAAACCACGAGCAACAAGATGAGCTTTAAATTTGTCAACGATGCCATCCAATTTTTTCTTTAACCGAAAAACCCATTTGCAGGTGACTGGCTCACGTTTTTCTGGTTTAAGAACCAACTCCCAAGTCTCATTCTTGTGTAAAGCTTCAATCTCTTCTTACATTGCTTTTTGCTAATTAGGACAGCTTTTTGCTTCATCATAACTTGTTGGTTCTTCTGAAGTTAAAGCCCCTAAAAAGAAAATATGAAGTAACAGAACAATTATTAAGTTCCACCTCATAATCTTTGAGGTAATTTGGATGTCTTTTCTCCCTCCTCGATCTTCTTACCACATGTTGCTCACTAACATCTCCTTCAACATCATTTTGAGCTGGGGGTTCATACTCTATTTCTTCATTAAAAGGTGCCTGAACAATTTCTTCGAGAAATAGATGCTCCAAATTAACATGATCATCATCAAGAACAACCATTTGAACAGAAAATAAAGATTAGATTTCATTAAACATCACATCTCTAGAAGTAGTAAATTTCTTTGTTTGTAAATCCATACACCTCCAACCTTTCCTATGAGAGTCATAGCCAACAAGCATGCATTTTCTTGCTTTTGGGTCAAGTTTGGTTCTATTAAATTTGGGAACATGGACATAACAAATGGAACCAAATACCTGAAAGTACTTTACATTTGGCTTCTCACCATATACAATCTCAAAGGAAGATTTTTGTGTACCTGGCCAAGAAGGTAGCCTGTTAACTACATGACATGCACATTGAATAGCTTCTACCCATAACTCTCGAGGAAGGTTTTTGTCATGCAGCCATGAAAGATAAATTGAAGTAGGATAGCCAAGCTTCCTTTCAGCAAAACCGTTCTGCTGACGAGTGTCCAGACAGGTCATTTGCTGAGGAATACCATTGTCGTGACAATATTGAAAGAAATCATCCGACATGAACTACCCACCTATGTCACTCTGAAGACATTTTATTTTCTTCCCAAATTCTTTTTCAACAGTCTCTTTGAACTCCACAAGTTTAGATAGAGCTTCACTTTTCTCTTTCAAAAATTTCACCCAAGTGAATCTTAAGTGGACATGCACTAACACCATAACATAACGATGTCCACTGTAACTTGATGTTCTCGTTGGTCCCATCAAATCCATATGGACCAGCTCAAACAATGAAGATTTCTGATTTGACATCCTGTTGAAAGGAAGACGATGAGATTTGACATATTGGCAACCTTGACAAATTACATCTTCACGAACATTCTTTAGAGCTGGCAAACCATCTACTAGCCTGTGTGAAGAGATTTGTTGCAACAATTGATAGCCTATATGACCTAACCGAGCTTGCCAAATTACAGCATTATCAGTTTGCCTTGTTTTCTTCACATAAGCTTCTCCAGTAAAAATAACATCAGCTAATATTTCTTTCACATTATCAAGAACTTTTACATCTTTTAGGCCAAACAAGACATATTTTCCAGAATCAGTAATTTGAGGAACAAAAACTAAGTTTTTAGTCAAACCTGGATCATGATAAACATCATCTATCTTTACACCTTTCGTACCGGCAACGTCAATCATCACAGCCCCTTCGCTTGCTACTGGATGAGTAGAATCATTGGTCGTGACAATGACCCGATCTCCATGGTGTTCCTGCATCTCTGAGAACAAGGTGTCATTGTCTATAACATAGTTAGAACAACCAGAATCTACGATCCACCCTTCCCTCTATTTATTGGCATAATTAACAAAGTTTGAGTTGCTATCATTCAATAGCCTCAATAGAAAAGCA